CTACCAGGACGAGTTACCCATCTTTCACAGTGAGGTGCCTCAGCGGGCAAACTTCGATGACGTCTTGAAAGCTACCGCTAAGTTCTTACATCTCCACCCGAAGGAGGTCATCTTGATGCGTCTCAAGGAAGAATATAAGCCTCAAGACAATACAAAAACATTTGCCCAGACCGTTCAGGGATACATTGATCGATACCCTAGAGAGCTATTTTACCGAGGGGAGAGTTACCCAACCATGAGCGACGTAAGAGGCAAGTTGGTCGTTCTCCGGGATTATGAAGGCCCTGCTGACTACGGATTGCCGTACGCCGATCTCGATATCGAAGATCTTTGGCAGGTACCAAGTCTTCTTCCTCTGCATATCAATACAAAGTGGCACGCCACACGCAGTCAACTTGAGAAGGCCGCCAGGGGACCAGCCTCTACAGTCCTCTACCTGACGCATACCAGTGGAACCAGCGCCTTTGCTTTTCCCGAGGCGGTGGCAGAGAGGCTCAATAAGTACCTCAGCGACTTCCTGACTGGTAAGGGTAGGTGGGGGGTTGTAGCTATGGACTTTCCGAACCCTGATCTAATCGACAAAATTATCACCTCAAACTTTTAGAGGTTTGTCCCCCCCCTTCCCTGATCCAACAACCTATGACGTCATCCGTGAACAAGTGAGGGCGCCGTGTATTCAACCAACACTACGTATTAGTATTCTTGATAAAAGGGACGTAGTTTGAGTCGATCTTGAGCATGAAGGACATCTTGATCATTTGCAACCTGCCGTGTGCGTTGTGCTGAGTATAAGCAAAGTGAAAATGTTAACCCTGACACAGCATGTCTCTCTATAATTTATCACATTTATGATCACCGTGCAATTTAAATTCTACGTTGTTGAACTTTGGACCCTCATGGTACTGACCCAAAGATAAGATCAGTTCGTTCACAACTACAAATTCCGATTTTTGCTGAAAAGTGTGCGACAGTGAATGACTCCTGTATTTTAGACAGCGCCTGCCCAAACTCAAGCGCGACCTAGGTCTTTGGAGAACATGTGTCCGCGCATGTATTGTCGGCCAACCGTACGGGCGGCCGTTAGGCCCTTTGTTCTCGATTTACCTGACATTTTTGGAATACCGATCCACCTGGCTTATTCTGAAGTTAGATGCCACACTGGCTGCACTTTGTACTCTGAGCTAAAAATAAATGCTTGTACTCGACAACGATAACCAAGCACTCGTGACCGTGTCATGTTTTGACTTCAAAGATAGCCTCAGTGGTTTGTGCCAGAGTAAAAATCTCTGACTACAGTTCTTACTGCAGGTCGCATGATTACTTTCATTTTGTTTAACTAAGCTTTCACATGTTGAAGTTATAATGCAGAAAGTACTGTGTTTTACTTGGCTGATCCATGTGGCCATTTTAGTGGACACAAAGGTGGACTGGATGGCACGCGTGCCCGATAAGTATTCCACCGCTAATATATCAATACCCGGCACCCATGAGTCCATGAGTCTACACGGAGGTGAGACCACACAGTGTCAGAATACCACCCTGACCCAGCAGTTCGACAACGGGATACGCTTTGTCGACATACGCTGTCGGCTTTATAACAACAAGTTGCAGATCTACCACGGCATAGTACCTCAGAAGGCATCTTTCGACGACGTTCTGAAGAACACGACAAAGTTCTTGGACGAGCATGCGAAAGAAGTCATCTTCATGCGCGTCAGGGAGGAAGAGGACCCAGAAAACAGCACCATCACTTTCGCCAATGCTGTCCAGGTCTACGTCAACCGTTACCCGGCTGAGACCTTCTACCATGGGAAAGGCTACCCCACCATGAGCGCAGCCAGAGGAAAGCTAGTGATACTAAGAGATTACAGCGGGCCGGCGACCTTTGGACTAAACTACAATGATTTAGACATTGAAGACCAGTGGCGCATCGATTTCCTCTCAAAGGAGGAGATCCAGAAGAAGTGGAACGCCGTGTACAGCCATCTTGAGAAGGCTTCTAAGGGGCCGGTCAGCAAGATGTACCTGACTTACAGCAGTGGTGCCGGCATCTTTGCCTGGCCTGATGATGTAGCTGAGCGTCTGAACAAACTATTAGCAGGTTACTTGAACGGAACCAAGGCCAAATGGGGAATAATAGCAATGGACTTCCCTAATGCAAAACTAATTACCATGATTATTGAGTCGAATTTTAAAGATTCAACTGTCTGTTAATGAAAAACGTAGCAGCAATAACATGAAAAAGTAAAGCTTTGTGGTAGGACCACGTCTTTTTTTAAGATGTGTGGTTATGACAAGAAGAACCCTCCAGGTCTTTTCAGCATTACACATACTTACCAAACAGAAACCCTTGCAGGGTGCAACCGCAAACCTTTACTTTAAATGCCACCTTCACCATGAAAAGCTTTAAAGATCATTTAACAGTGACATATTAGCATGTAAATGTTTCCATTAACGGAGTATTGATGCGTCACGACTTGCATGTATTATAGAGGGTGTCCATTAAAAAATGTGTTCCGACATCAAAAACTGAATTACATAACAATGTCAGATGTGCATTGATAGGAATGGTAGCCATGTGGAGGGGCACAGCACATTAAACTTATGCGGTAAGTCAGCGAAAACAAAGCAGATCAGATCGATTTAGGTACACCACTTGCTTTCAATAATGTGTTCTTAAAGCAAAGGCATTCGGTATTCTGCACACTTGCATGGTTAATTGAGCCTTGTTAATCAAATATCCAAACTTGTCAGAGTGCCGATTTCAGTACCCTTAACATCGGTCTATTTCAATCATCTGTGTCTATAGCATCAACAGTTGTACATCACCCTATATATAATGTAAACCCTGGAACAGCCGGAGGCAGAATCCGTCCCCGGCATTTTCTCCAATTCTTTTCTCCAAAGATTTCCTCGCAGCACATGTTTTCAAGCGCCGAGTTTTTAGGAATTATTTCATGTAATATCTTGCAATAACTTTATAAAATCAGATACACCGTCACACGTCTTGCTAATCGGTCATTATTTTTCCGAGACAGGTCAGTCAAAATAGCAACTCAGTTACCATTGACGTGCTCGATGCACGCGAGCCGACTCGTATGAGACCAGGAACTTGAGATGACCTTAACAACAAAATTCTAGGTCAGATTAAAATGGGAACTTCACTGCTAATTATGGGTGTCTGTACACCCGATATAAAGGGGACAGGCGATGTCCTCGGACGCAGATCTGGGGGGCCAGGGGGGTTAGGCCCCCTCGCTCTGACACCAAAATCAAATAACAATTCCTGGCTCCGCCCCCAATCTTAGGGGGAGCAAAATCCAGTTGTGAGATGGTCCCAGAAACAGTAGGGGTACAACAGCTGTTGGGGAAATATGTAATGTAATATGTAATGCTGAAGAAAGAGTGTGTTACTAAGATCAGACTGATGATGCTGACGAGAGCAAACAATCCCTGTTTCATCTAATCGATATATTAAATGTGGAACAGGTTAATCAATATTTAGCCAGTTTCATGTAACCATTTGCACAAACATGCTTACATATTATATGGTTGTCGTAATCGTTGTGGCATATTTGTGTGTATTATATAGGTAGGTTTGATTTATTGTTAAAAGGACCGAAAAAGATGCATTTTGATTTACAATAGGGGCCCAGGTTAAATCTAACAATGATTATCAAGAAATATATGCATAAAAGTTGCACAAAAGAGACGATACTTCAAACAAGTTAACATACGGTTTAAAATTCGACTAAGATTCGTTTGTCAACTTTTTTTAATGCAGTCTAATTTTCAAGTTTATTTTGACGAGTGTAGAATATAGTACATGTATTACAGATGGAAATTAAAACTTACTGTTGAATCTTCTGAAATACAGCTGACTGATGAATCTATTGATGGTTATACCACAGAGCAAAAACGAAATTAAAACAAACACACACAGGAAATAATACTACTTAACATATTACGGTTCCTGCACTTAGAAAGGGTATAATTTCCTTCCTGGTTCTCTATAATGCTAAGAACGTAGAGAAAAAGAACGACCCATCGAAAGTGGAAGAGGAATGTTTAATAGGCTCTGTGTTCGGGTGCCAACCTTGGGGTGGGGACAGATGCTGCTACAATATTAACACGATCTTTACTATAAAATGTGTTTAACTTACAAATACGCGGGAAAGTTTGTTTCCCAACTTCTACCTATCACAAGTTCCCATGCAGTCTTTAATTCCTCTTAGCACCACTTTTTACTTTGCGTCAAAGCTCCTGGGAGAGTTTCCACAAACAAAAACTATAATTTGGTCTACCGTACGATTTTCTACTTACAAATAGCATCTTTGGTATATAAGCTGTGATAACTTCTAGATGATGCTGTACCTCGATTGACTATCAACTGCCTAGTTGTGATGTATCTACAGTGAGATTTAACAGATACGGATTACGATATCCCCATGATTTCCCTTTGCAAACCTCTAGACATTAAACAAGAAAGTGTAGTGCCTTCTGGCGACTACATACTTACTTACTTAACCTGATCACTAAAAATGCAGTGTTAAGTCTTGTTTTACGCGAACGTATGGAAGTTCTTTTCTTCTCTCAGGATACTCTGCATCTTGTCATGATTAACCTTTTTAAATTGTGGAACGAGTATTACGAAGAAAACAATACCAAGGTTTCCCGAACTACTCCCACCCGTCTAATATGGCAAAGAACGAAAGCCCTTAATATGGTTAATTCAAATTTGTTATACTGTTTAATTTCCCTAAATCGACAATACTGACTTAACAGTGGCAACCACTAACACAAAAGAGGGTCATTCAAAGCTGCTGTCCAGAACTTTGAAAAAGTTAAATTCCTTTTGTCATTATCCTGTTTCTCCTTTCCTCCGAAATAAAATTGCCTGTCCAGAAGTAAGTCGTCGAGGAACCGAGTGAGTTTAAGCTAATGAAAAGATGTCTATATTAATTGAAATGATAGTCTTTAATGAGAGACTTATTATATTTATAGAGTTCGACGATGATATTATTGCTCTTCTTTGGATATTTTGATAAGCGCCTCCAGTGAGTAAATGATTCCGATTAAACCTACAACACAGCCGCTTAGAATTACAAGTATGTTGAACAGCTTCTGGTACCAAGGAATCTCAGGCCATTTGATTTTCAGATGGAACAAACAGGGCCAGACGAAGGACAACATGGTGCCCGTGAAACTACCTATCAGCCCCATGAGTTGGTTGAAGTGGGGTATAAAGATGGCCAACAGCATGGTGAAGATGACTACGAGGGTGCGGAGGGCGACTGACCACGGGTGGAGGTAACCGTCCAGGGCGTAACAGGAGGGGAAGAGGGTCCTAGGCCGGCCACTGAAGAAGGCTCTCTCCAAGAGCTCGACGGCGGCGTAAAAGGGGAGAGGATAGGACAGGAGAGCTTTGATGACCAAGACGACGTTGACGGTTGCACGGAAGCCTTGCGTGGGGAGGTTATCGGTGATGATGTCGCGCGTGCCGAGGCCAAAGGTCAGAAAGCAGAGATAGGCGAACAGCGCCTTGAAGAGACCTGCCAAGGCGTGAGTCCAGTAGAGCATCTTGTTGAACTTTGGACGCTCCACCATGCTGCCTTCAAGGCTAGGCAAGAAGATGTGCGATGTGTAACTGAAGATGACGATCCCCATGGAGACAGGGAAATAGTGGATGTCCACCTGCACAGCCACGTCGCCCCAGTGCCAAAGGGCAGCGTAGCTCAGACAGAAGCCAATCAGGGTGAGGTTGATAATCACATGGACCACCGCGTTGCCGAAGCTGAGGCGCGACACGGCCTTGAGGTCTCGCAGGAAGGCGCAGGGGACGACTAAGAAAGTAGCCAGCATCGTCCAGGTCGTCTCGTCCAGCTTGTTGGTAGGGAAACTATTGCTGAGGAGGTCGCCGCACAGCACGAGGTACAGTATACAAGTCATGATCAACTCGATGAACTGCGCCGTGTGCACGATCTGGGCTGCGAAGCGATCTCCCCACACCTCCTTAGCGATGTCGACGTAGGATTCACGAACGCGTATGCGCAGACCTGTGACGTCATCAGTGACGTAGAGGCACTCGACCAGGATTTTGCCAGTATAGCAAGTGACAGCTGCTGCAAGTAGCAGAGCAAGAAGTCCCCAGTAGCCACCGTGTAGAACTGCATAGGGTAAAGCCACTAGGAACATTCCCTGCATGCACAAAGACAAAATGAAAAGAACAGTCACAATGATGCCTCATTGAAGTTAACCCTTCAAAATTACACCGGCACTACTTTCATGAAACAATTAAGGAAGCGAATTTTCTTAGCAATGGGACAATTCCTCTTTTCCTGACTGCCAAAAGTAGTGTCATGTTTTCTAGGGATTGTCTATTTGTTTGCCAAGATGTACTATTGCTCAGGCCGACCAAAGGATGGTCCAGTCCACCCTTTGTATATTTTTAAAAGATCTTGTATTTTAAGATACATTGCTGAGGCAACAAAATTGAGATGAGGCCAGGTCCATTAATGAACTGAGTTGAAAGAATCTCCTGAGATCAGGTCGGTGCAACGTAAGATAAAAAGTGTATTTAAAAACTAAATACCATTCTAAAATTGTTAAGCATATTATTTCATTATGGAATTAACATTATTAGCTCAAAGATTAGCAAATTGAATCCACCCACATCATTTTCCGTTTTTTCTATTTGGAAGATGTTATCGGTAATTCTGTTTTTAACGCTATCACTTTCCCAATCAGAACGTATGTGCGTGTAGTGAGTCGTTGGTCACGTAATCGACCATTTTGATCAATCAATCAATGTGTTTTCGGTAACTCTGCATGCCTGGGTTTTCCCTCACGCATCAGCACGTCGGAGATCTCTGAGCTGCCTTCAGGGGAAGAAAGAAGGCCTGACAAGAAAACAAAAAAGTACTCGAACCGTTTCAGGTCAAGTCTGGGAAAACATTTGGAATTGCAGGGGGAGCACTTGATCGTGGGCACTTATGGTGTTGGAGTGGGAATGGAGTAGCTGGTTTGGCGGATGTCAGGACCGGCTTGATCGCTCGAGGGGCGGTCCTTACATACATCAGGCATCAAGATGCGTCATGATTCATTCAGTCTCTTGGAGATGGAAATATGTATGGCAAATAGAAGGCAGGGGTGATTAAATTATTATCTACTGTGGGTTTTTTTTCCTGCTATTGTGAGGAATACTTTGCTCAAACACTGGCAAAGAAAATCGATTCTGAATTGTACAGTCATTGTGTGTTCAGTCAAAGTAGTTGCGAAATTGAGTTAGAAACGTGGTATGTCTGCGCCTTAAGTGTGTTGTTTTTATTCTTTATTTTCTTGAAAAACAAACAAAGAAGAAATCAGCATCTCCAGAAAAGGAATTTATGCGGGCGGTTGGGGTGTTTGTACGTACAATACTGTGCTACGATATAGCTATTCATTTTAAATGCCTGAAATCTGGAAAGGCTTTTTATAAGGTCATTGCAGCGCCAACGAAGAAGTACTTAAGCGGTTTTGCTGTGGGAGAAATGCATCATTCAAATGGTAGGGCGGCAGCGTAAATAACCAAACTACCGATGTACCCCTCGGGGTAAACAATAATTTCCCTATATGGTGACAACTGACCCCGATTCAAGTGCTAGACGAGCAAATCGTCTTGCAGCTCGCAGCTATGTTCAGTTTGCCATGAAACTTCCATATTTTTGAGAAATACGTCTACTATTGCTTACATTACATTTTGCACTACATGTGCCCAATCCTTTTTTTTCTAAAGAGTACATCGATTTCCATTACATCATTTTATTCCAAGGCGCTAAAATCACGCTTTAAACGACCAACATCCCACAGGTCCAAACCTTGGACCATTGCATTGATTTCCAGCAAAATATGTTATGATTATTCCCAAAAGCGTCACCTGGTGATGCGTTTTATAACGACCAAAGCGACATCAAACCAGTCTAAAAAGTGAAATATTCCAGCTATTCTGCCGTCTTCAACTTGCTTATGGATGAGGCGAGTCTAATGTTGTTGGGTGTCCCTCACCGTCTGAGAGATTTTTGTAAATTCTCTCTACGCGTCGGGCCGGAGGAAGGAGCAATGTTTCTGTTTTATCCGGCTGATTAGGCCCACGCCAGCCACCTGTCCCGACTATTGATCCATCCTGGGTCCTTACGCATCTGTCTTATTTGGTTATGCCGGTCCACGTGATCGCCCCCTTTGCTCCTTGATGTAAGCTTGGGTGTTATGCGGGAGGGAAAAAACGACGATTTTGGGCGCAAATGAGTGAAGTGTCTCAGGAGAGGGTGCTGAAATTTAGCTATTTGGATGTGAAACGTCGGAGTGAATTTTTGCGTCTTTTTAATGTAAATATTTATGATTGTGTCCTGTAATGAAACACCCTAACCAGAGTAAAATTGCTTGTTTTAATGTAACCTCTAAGGCAGAAGTTTTAACAAAAGTAAAATACAAGATATCAAAGATTCTCCCAAACTAAATAGTTGATTTTAAACTGTATTAGTCAGACTGAATTTTCTTTCCAACCCTGTATTGCAGAACCGCAATCAATCGATTATTCGCATTCGATCGATATTCGCACTCATCCCATCGAAGATCCAGCAACATTGTGCCCAGGGCTGGGTCACTTATGGATGCATTAATTCAGTGATTAGAGGGAGTCCGCAGAATCCACCTGCCAAGTGACCAACCAAGACCTAACTAAATGCAATTCAATTTACGGGCTAGGTCAACTCTTACCATACCAGTGTCTGGCTATAAAGTTTTGCATGTACGCCAATCTGATGTTAAGATTCCTAGCTTTTACTGTAAAGATCAGACAGAGTGTTCAGGGATGAAATTAGAAATGCCTCAGTTTTTCTTCTGTACACACACACCCCGCTTCACGAAACATCAAAATGTGCTTTTAAGAACCATGTCCATTAGGAGCCAAAAAGGATAATCAGATGAAAGGTGCCTGGCATAATCAGTCAAGGACAACATCTTCAGCCACTCAGGCGAAAGCGAGAAATCAAACTAATTAACCACTTGCCCGCTTCACTTGGACCTTGTCGCAACAGAAAACTCCTGCACGACTACCGATCACTTAAAAACAGCCGATAATAAAATTTCACCTGCCGGGATTTCAAAAGAGGGAATCAAAGGAAAGAATGACAAGTAACAACACTGAGTAAACAAAGTATTATCGTTTTTGTGTAGTCATGTCTGCTGAGGTAGTATTAGAATATTTTCACTCACGCTGGGAGCTAATTTCAGGGAAGGTGAAAAAACAAATGAGATATCTTAAGACGTGTATATTGTGCTCCTCGGCAATCAAATGTTCGAGACGTACGAAAGTCCAATGACACGTGTGATATTTCGTCCAGTATTTTAATTTCAGGATATAGACCTACACTACGCCGCCACGAGCGATTTGGCCTATTTATCCAGCCGACATGTATATAGTACATACAAATATTTAGGTTTGTCGTTACTGATGTGAGCACAGGACTGTAGAAACTTGAGTCATGATCGTTTATTGAAGCTTGTAAAGAGTTAAGGATCTCCGTAACAAGAAACACGTAAAAAAAGGTGCTCAACTGACCAAACAGAAATACCCTGTTTTCTACCAAATTGGAGAGAAATAACTTGTTTCCATTTCCCGATTAGTGGAAATAATTTGAATGTGGATAGAAACTACCGTTTTTGGTGGTCTTTCCTTGAGTTATTAAAAATGTAAATAATTTTGCAGCAAATTCGAAGCTGTAAAGATGGGTTTAATTGTCAGATACAAGGCTGAAAATAAGAATAGACTGGTTTTTCTAAGTGGAGATATTCGAAGATATTCTTTCGAAGACATGTTATAACTGAGGTACTGTACTTCTGCATGAAAATATCACACGATCTGCATGAAACTATCAATTTCGTTTCTTTATTCCAAACTTCTGTCCATTTTCCCCGTCAAACAATAAGATAATTAGGAATTTCGTATAATGCTGTGCATGCACAAAAGAATACGGCATTTCAGAACATGTTTTTAGTCGCTGTGTCTTCAGCTATAGTAAATCTCAGAATATTTTAAGATCGCAAAGCAGGTTTCTTTGGGTATTAGGATGTGAAGATGAAGGTGAGCACTTAAGTCCAGAAGGATTTTCATGCAGAATATATGACGGAGAAGTTCATTTCATTGTGAACGCATAAGCATGATTGAAGCAAAGAGTAAAATGGCTTCTCTTCAATTTTTTTATTAATTCTCCTACATTCTCCGATCCGACATAGGACGCAGTGCTGGGTACCATCAGACTACCGAAAACATCTCTCGACTTCACTGCTTTATATGGTCTGGATTCCGATAAGTGCCTTGGAATTATGGAGATAAATCGCGCAGTTAAGCCGGCACTTTATAGATTTACCCGCCATGGAATCCTAGATCGTCTTTTATTAATGGACGGAAGTTGGCGCTCGCTCGCCCTGATATCTGTCGATTTCTTTCCCATCCATTCCCGTGTCCAACTCTTGTTTCTTGTACCGTGCTCCATAATCGTCTTTCGCCTGCTTTTCGAGTAATTCTGCAGCCGTTAGTTTTATCTTGAGGTAGAGAAGGTCAATTAGCAGCAGCGTGGAGAAGCAACGGCCTCCGCTCTCCCCGAATATGGAGATTGCAAGTTTTCTAAATCGTGATTGTGTCTACACGCCAGACACCTGAGTCAACACAGCGCCGTGGTGATTGGTTGTTTTCCTATCGAGTCCGTTCAGAGACTCTCGATTTTTTCCGTCTTACATTGAAGAATTGATCGCCTCTCTGTCTAAAATGTGGCCAGCAAGCGGACAGGAGATTGAATTGACTTGTCTTATTCCTCAATTGCTAAGAAATGTTCTTTTACATTTCCATGAAATTTTATCACTGCAATTTGCAAATAGCTTCTGAAAATAAAAACGATGCTGAAAAAGGCTATAACGAAAGTTAACTGATAAAAATGATTTCACTATTTTATGTATCGTAAACCAGACTAAAAACAGCTCTATCAACTTCTGTTTTATTGGGGACAAGACTGCACTATAGTTTCCTCATTATCACTTTGCTACACAAAAATGTACTACACTCCACACAGTAGCCAAATTAAATGTCTGATATTTATAATTTATTTTTTTATTATAATTAGCTTTACGATCATAAAGCAAAAATGGTACCGTAAGCTGAATTCGTTTTGCTTCTTGGAATGCCATCTATTGAGAAACCTTAAAACTTCCAGATTAAAATCTTCTTTCTTGGTTAGTTTTCTAGGGAGTGATTTCACAAAGATTAGAGGCGGAAGAACTGAATTTTCTGTTGAGTATTTCCCACAGGGACAAGTAAACAAATGAATCTCTCCATCAAAATGATGCATGTCGATGTAGCATTCTCCGGCGATTAATGCAATTAAGTCAATGATGATTTGATTTGTACTGACGTCATCAAAGATGAAGGTGGCCTTTGTGATGGCGCCTCCAGATGTAATGGGAGGGATAAGGAGCAGCTTCGTTGAGGAGATTTTGTTTTGTTGTTTTTTGTTTGCTTTCCTTTGTTTTTTGTTTGTTTTGTTTTGTTGGGGGGTTAATTTATTTATTTATTTATTTATTTTGTGCTTGTTTGTTTCTGGTTTTTTTTAACAACAGTTCCGTTCCCCGTTAACAGTATGTATGTCTCATCTCCTGTGTAACCTTACCCCAAATAGCCCAGAGCCGTCACAAGAATACATACTGACTGAGACGCAGGCAATGACAAATTTAACGGATCCAATAATTCCATACTTTTGAGCATCTCCTTTGTCCCCACTGTTCTTCCTGTGCAGACCATTTTGAGGACAAAGATTTCGAAAATTCTTCCTTCAGTTTGATCTTCAAATACAGGTTCTGTCAATATAAGTCTCGTCGCGCTCTTTATGGAGACGATTTCCCCCTGTCTGTTTCTAACCAGCACGGCACTACAGCAATCCCAGGCTCCATATTTCATAAATTAAAGATTGATTTCTCTCCTTAAGCGGCAAAGCTAGAACACGAGGCGTACTCGAGGGTTAGATTAGATAAATGCACCTGTGTGTTATAGGTGGTTCCCGATTTTGAAATGGAGGAGAAATGAGAACAGAATTCAAAAGGACGCATGCAAAAGGAAGTAGGCCAACATAAGGATTGCAATAAAATACTAAATCGGTACGAAGGTGTCCTTCATGGGTACACGAGGAAGGCTCTCTTCTTTCAAAAATCAATGCTCAGGCATTTCGTATTGAACAGCGCGTAAACAAAATATTCGCATGGGAAATAGTTTGATGTTGCATACGCTCATGCAACAGCGTGCAATCCTCCCTGTTCAAAGTTTACTCCTGCTATTACTTTTCCCTCTATTTGTGTGGACACGCCCCCTGGATACAGTGTTCACGAGAGGTCATTATGTCCGCAGAAACGGGCATTTGTAATTTACACGGCTCGCGGATTCGAGAGGGAGTAATTCCGACGAACAGGCTCAGGTGGCAAATCTGCGCGCCAAATTGGTCTGGAAATTGTCAGCAGAATTGAATGCGAAAGAGACGAACTAAGAGGCGACCGTGTTTTCCTGCCAATTTTATGGTAGGGTAGCCATTCTGTGTGAAGGAAAGTAAATCAGCCAGGCGACGAGATTTTTTTCTTTTCTAATTGAATCTTCTGGTGAGCTGCCTCTCATTTTGGGCAAAACAGGACCTGCAATGACTCTCGAGGACAAACAGAAAATGTCATTTAGCTGGCACATTCAGATAAACGCTTTATCGCTCCCAAAGGGGGCGAGAGATTAACAACAGTGCTTATTTCAGCGGCTCGTTCTTACCTACGCTGTACCTGAGGAACCAATTCAATAACTTATAAAACATACGGTGTCAGATGGACAACGCATTTTCTCCTCGTAGTTGAAACTGATCGTTTCTCACTTTAGAGAACACGGACGGATGAAATGGCGGTCCGTTCTGCTCTACATTTAAATTTGTAATAAACATCCGAACAAATCTGTGATTGAGGTCGTGGTTATAGTTGTGCTGCTGCTAGACCAGTTTTTTATCACGACTTCCGCAGCGGTAGTCGCTTCATGCATAAAATGGTAACTCATTTTAATAGGAAAAGATCATGTTGAACACTCCAGTGTTTTGGTTTGTCTCAGAAGCCACCAGTTCGCCTCGTGAGCTATTTTCAAAATTGGATAGAATTTCGTGACTGGTCGATGTCTCCTCCTGTAAATCTGCTGTGACAGCAGTACTGTGATTTGCTCGCTGTTTGTCACAGCACGCCTGCTGTAAAAATGTCTTGAGAACGGCGCGTTCGATGTTCTTTCCTGAGGAGGTCTTTCCGGTTAAACCTTAAAAGGTACACGTATTTGTTAGGTATTAGGCCATGCTCTTATTCATTTTATCCGTCATGATGCATATTTTTACAACTGCACTGTACGCTGGTCGATTGGTCGTGGCGAGTATAATCGCTGTCATTATAAACTTACTTAATTTTACAGGGAAAAGTGTCCCATTCGCAACCAATCGCTTCAAATCCATCAAAACTTGCTATTGCTACAGATAAGGACGGATACTTACACTGTTAATCATAAAACTCTCGGTGTGTATCAAAGGCACTTGAAATCACCACACATACCTGTCATTTTACTCTCAATGATATTGTAAAAAAATCGTCTTGTGAAAAAAAATCTTTGTTTATTTATTATAGACAAAAACGGAAGTTATAAGCATTAGAAAGTGCTACTTGCCTGTATTGCATTTGTAACATTCCAGCCGGCATCCCAAGTCGATATCTGCTTCTTGGCGATATTTACATTGCTAGCTTCGCCGTAACTTCTCGCAGCCTGTCCGGCCGAGGCCACCGGGTTACCAACTGCTGAAACTGCTCCGTTCACTGCTGGGGCCTTGCCGTTCTCGGCCCCTCCGTCCACACCAGTTTCCGGTGTCCGACCCTCTTCCCCAGAACCTAGCACGGACAGCTCGGTTGAGTCGCATTTCGCAAAGTGGAGGTGCTCCTCATCTGGTTTACCGCGCGGCAGGAGGTTTCCAACGAAGTGTCGAATTCGCGCTACTGGGGCGCCCAGACCTGGTATTGGAGCGTAACTCATGATTTCGCAGACGCCGAGTAACCTCACAAAAAACTGAATGTTTGCTTTGTCAAAGAGGGAAGCACGGGTTCTTGAGATTGCACTGAGGAGAGGCAGGTGCTATAGTCTCTCACCATGACAACTCATCCGTGCATCAGCCGTGTCGAAAGAGAACATGCAGTGGATGAGCTGCGTGCTACGCGCGCAATCAGTGCAGAACGGGTTTCCGTGTGAGGGTTTTTCCCTGCGCGCGCGTGACGTCACGGCGAACTTTTATCACATCACGCTCCTTAACTTTTGGTGAACAGCGATGATTTTCATTCGTGGAGCAACCTTGGGGGAAAGAATGGGTCAACTGTATAGGCCAAATATCTTTGGTGCACATGTACGTCACAGATAGATGCACACCACGGGTACGTAAGCATATCATAATCAATCAATATCATAATTTATCATAATAGAATACTGACTATAGTGATGCATGATTATGATCTAGCCCTAAGATGTCGTCGATGCAAACAGAGTTATCTAATAAACCTCCCACTTATGAAATTTCATATTGTCGCCCTGCTGTATGTTATACAAATGCGATACGAATGTGGTTGGTTGTATGTTTTATGAAGTGATAAAACACAAAATATGTCTTGCCTGTTTTTATTAACAGACAACAACGCACGTCCTACGGAAAATATCCTCTTATGTTGGTCCACTCCACTTTGACCAAATAAATTTCTGTTGCGTTAACGGTTTTGGTGGACAGTGATCAGTGCTCTGTTCATGGGAAAAAGCATTCTCTTTACAAGCATAAACAGTTCTTTTCAAGCTAAGGATGCACTGGCATCTTCCTAAACCATCCTCCGATTCCATTTACACACAACCAGATTCATGTAATATTTCCGTTTGCCGAAGGAGAAAAGGGATACGTGTAAAACCCAGGGAGACAAATATCGTTTGATGGAGCGTCTCGTGCGATCGATGCCGTGGTATTTGGATGGAGCAAGGTAGTGGGTGTGCCGAGCGAAACGCCTTGGCGTCGGTAGGAGCGAACAGATAAAAACACGGGTGCCGCAGAGGAAGGACGGATCCACATTGATGGATCCGCAATTGAATTAGGACAATTTTCCATTGCTTCCTACGTCTTTAGTTAAGGAAGAGCTGTATACCAACCTATTGTGGCGTAAATTTATACGGCTGTTACATGAATGTAAAAGTACTAATTGTGTTAGTTGTTGCCGTTGCCAAATTACGGACGCCTCTGATCGCACTTACGTACTGTAGAAGCTAGAAATGTTGCGGAAGATTGTGACATGCTGCGTTTTCTTTACTCTGTTTGTCTAATAAAACGCAATGTGACAGGAAACACTGTTAACAAACAGTCGCCGTGAGTCATTTTCAGTGGCGCATGCACTTACGCATTTTCCTGTGTCGCCAAGTTGGCAACCAATTTGTCTAATGCATTATTTCTGCAGCACAATGTTCTGGATGTATGATTGTCACAGCGGAAGTGACAAAATTCTTAACGACTCGTTTCTGTTGCAGTGTAATAACCCATTAAGGTACAGGCGCTACAAGGACAAAGTTCAAATCTGAAAGTGGGCCTATGTCAATACTCAATATGACTCTGCTTTGATGTATCTTTCTTCATAAGATAGCTGTAGTTGTTTGAACGCGCTTTCTGCTTTTTTCTGCTTTATATGGACATGCATTATTAGTCAATAATACATGCATTTTGCCATTTTCAAATATACACCGAATTTAGGTGCGTTCTCCTCTTTACGCATGGCTTTTTTATTGGTAGGGTACCGGTACACGAAGCGTCACTAAGGAAAAAAGAAAATCAGCTTCATTTGAGTAAGTAAGCCGTCTGTAGACTTATTCAAAAATAGAGGTTTGAAAACAAGGCGAATAATCACTAGAGACGGCAGTTTGTATTTAATCGATTGAAATAAAGACCATGACCATCCAGATATTTACGCGAATGTTGAAAAGCCACAAATTAATAGGTCTCGTAAAAGTTATAAATTAAGTTTCAAATCTAGCATTACTGAACAATTCAATATGCCCTATGATGCACAACGTGATAGTTATCAAATTACGCAACAAATCCTGCAAATTTTTGGATAAGTGCAATGTCAGTCATTATAATATACAACACACGTAATATCAACTTTCGAAATAAAACTAAAAGAAATGCTCATTGTTTTCACTAAATCTTAATATTGATCCAAGCTATTCATGTTGGTTTTCCAAGAGAATGTCATATACCTTGGTAACAAATCTTGCAGTTTTGGTTTCAGTAGTCTCAAAAGGAAAACAATCGAAGGATGTACCTTCATCAGCAGTTCAGTAGTCATTCGTTAGATTCGCTAAAGCATTATTTTAACAGATATTAGAATGAAAGCTTTTATTATGAATTCGCATGGCGATAGAAAAGCATGCTTTTTAGACAAATTTCATCTACGTTTAGAGAGAACAGTGATGCAATGACTGTTAAATTTCATGTTGTTTGCTTCTCAAAATATTAAAGATATGGACAAGTACACAACCAGTTCCCTAGACTGGGTGACTAGACTAGACTGGTGACGGGTCGACTGACACAAGCATACGAGCATATGATAGGCGAATAACGCACGTTTCGTTTATGTATTCATGATAACTGTCACATTGGAAGGAATATCCTACCAGCCCTCCGACTTGATAGATCGATCGTACTTGAAAACTGGAACGTGAAAGCAGTTGTCAACACGATATGGCCTGTCAAACATGGCCAAAATCGTGCGTTGTCTGCCTCACAGCTGTGGCGCAGGTTTTCAACAATAGCGCCCTCTTGGGTTCCTTCTATCCATTACACACTGACGAATTGGATTCGCACCGCATCATATCGACAGCAAGTCTGTCGGTAAATCTTGTGAAATCTTTCTAGAGCTCCCCTTGTCGGTGATGGGCCGCGAGACCATAGTTCTTTCAGTCGTAGAGTCGCCCCCTTCGGATGTCGATAGAGCACGGGTGCGCGTGCGCGTTTTGCGGGTGCGGTCCCTCCGCCGAGTTTTTCTTCGTCTGTTCTTTCTTCTGTTCTTCCCGTTCTTTTTGGTCGACTGTGGATTGACTTCGTCACCTAGGAGACAAAAATAACAGACAAGTATCCATTCATCTGTTCCTGTATTGTGACTTCTGGTTCATGTATTTCACAAAAGCTTCACGCACGTAGCCAGATACAATCACCAAAATAATTTGCGTTGTCTCCTGTTGAAAAAAATAGTCATACTGTGACGAAAATTAAAATGTCTAGCTCAGGTTAAACAGCCTACCTGGGCAATATCTCTGCGGCATGCGACAGTCTCTTGACTCATGGAGTTCCGGGCACGTCTGTCCGTCCGTTGAGGGCTGGGTAGTTATGCTCCGGGAGCGAGTCTCCAGGCCCCATTTGTAACCACAGTCTGCGCCATTCTTAAGACAAGGGGACCAACTACTCCATTCGGATACTTCACAATCAACTGAAGGATTTAAAACCATATGGTTAGCATTAAAGAGCCTTTTTATAGGCATGTAAATTCACCAGTCGTATGATGCCGTTTAAAATGGCGTCACACGCGACTGCTTGAATAGTATTTCTTCATCTTGAAGTTACGTTTAATTGTCAAAGATAGTATAACCTATAGGTCCGGAAGATTTTTACGGAAGTTGCATAAATCCATTAATACGGGCGATTCACAATAGTGCGCCACCAAGAGTTTGCAACACGTTGGCCAATCATAACGCGCGAAATTTGTCGACCCTTTCCAAACACGCATTGGGTTGACAAATTTCGCTCATTGTGATTGGCCAACGCGTTGCAAACTCTTGGTGGTGCACTATTGTGAAACGGCCGTATTGGGTTTAAAGAGTGATAAGGTCCTTATGTGTCCACACTGGTAAACTGTGTTTAGCTATTTTTCTACACAATATCTTGCTATCTGCAATGTCTTGATGGATAGTGTCTAATCATTGAAAACTAACGTTTAGGAATTAAACATCTAATTATTCAGCATCTGAACGCGTTTACAAATTGATAGCAAGATTGTGTTTAATTTCAAACAGTTTCTTGACAGTAGTTACTGGATTTGCGACTGGATCCCACAAAATAAGTCTTATTAAGGCAATTTGTTGCCATACTTTTTAGTTTGCATTAGAAATGACTGATGATGTAACACTCAGTCTGAACCCCTGATAACAATGGACATTATGGACAAAACTCCAGTCACATGCCAATATGCGCCCCACCTCTAAAATTTCCACGCTGAAACAACTATTCATTGACAAGTGAACTTTATAGGTCAAACTTTTTCAGGGTCGAGCAACTCATCTCGTCTGACTCATGCCGCTTTTCCAATTGAATGGTTTAAAGATGTTTCGATGGCCAAATTCTGTCTCTTGTGGGCTTGTGTCCTTCCGACTGAGCTAGTTTGATATGCGTACTCTTATTCGAGTGTGTGGTAGGTCGTTCGAGAACATCAATACGCGCGTACGAAGTCCCTACACCGACTCACTGACGCGCACCGAACATGAACTGGCTCGACGTAAGGCTGATTGTTCTCGAGTGACCTTGACTTTTTTGGAAAGACCAAACTGGATCATTCACCAGCCTTAATTACCCGGGCAGTGCCGCTGCAGAATACGACACCTTCGGGTCTCTGCGAGCTCGGGGCAAGCTTTTCCTGTGGGCGTGGGCTGGGTGATGATGCCTCTCATTCGGGTCTCCATGCCCCATTTGTAGCCACAGTCTGCCCCGTTCTTCAGGCACGGACCCCAGCTCGCCCACTGTGAGACCTCACAGTCAACTGTAGAAATGTAAGTTTTGAAGACGGTGGTTTGAAATAAAAGTGACCACAATAGCTGTCTCTAGTACTTTGTTCAAAGCGAATACATTCTACTGCTGACAGCAGACAACTTTAAAGAGTCAATTACAAACCACAGAAGGTACAGTTTAACATTATGGGTGTAGGCTGGGTTCGACCATGACAGCAGATGGCACTTTTGGGCCACTACCTTGTACTTATAGCTTAGTATATGCTGCAGAATACTCCTGATATGATTAATAGAAAAAAATTCTTGTACATCATTGAAGTCTCCCCCCCCCGTGTCTCTGTACCTCTCTTTGATACATCAGTGCAACTGTCATACTCCTCTTCCATTATCTCTGCCCTCACGTCCACGAATGTTATTGCACAAATCGATGACTCACGTCCAAGAACGTTATTGTACAAATCAAGAACTCTCTGTTGTTTCTTTGTTTTTAATTATGGAATGTTTTGGAACAGCTCCAATTAGTTCTTACACTTTTCCCAACCTAGGACGTCCTCGGTTGGATACCTGTCCTTGGTTTTGAAAGACTGTTGCACACGCCATCCTCGATTGACTGTATACACATGCAAGACCCAAACACGCCTTTGCCACATCTCAACTTCCACGTTTCAGAACAATGAAATATTCTACTCAAGCTTGACCCCCTGGCTTTTCTCTCTCTTGATAAGACGTGATGGGATCGACTCATTTTCGAGTCTTTAGTTCCTAACCTGATTCCAAGCAATCACCGCTCTTCCTGTCGGGCCATGTTCCCGCTGGGCAAGTAGCGAAGCACTTGCCGCCGTTGGCGTAGTACGAAGGCTGGCACCTCACACAGAAGTTCCGCGTGAAACAGTCTTCACAATCATCCACTTGGCACTCTGGTGGGAGAATAAAATCCATTCCCATATGATGTTCATATTCAATGCGTCAATGAGTGCGTGTTTTGCCCGAATGAATGCAAGATTATGTGCATCAGCGCTTGGCAGAGCTACATGTCATCATAAAATTAATCAGCACTGTTTTCACTATATAGAAAATCCTGATGATGGGACAAAATATGTTTAAAGATAAGTGAAGTTTTGTAGACCTGTTTGCGCGAAATTATGCTCTTTTATTTGGAAGCCGAATTGTCATGGCTTTTCTTTTTCACTTTAGACCTTATAATGTTGAATGGCAACTTTCCCCTACCAAGTTACTTGTCTTTAAACCTCCTCAGCCTCAATCAACGCAACCTGTTTAATGAATGCGAGTCAACTGCCCACCCACAGACGGCCTTTGAGCTGTGACGGTAATTGTGGGTGACAAAATACCGCCCTCTATATCCTGTTATTTCCTGCCCCATTTCATTGGTTCTGTCAGCAGCCGCCTGTCGGCAGTGACTTATCCACTGCCCCAGTTGTCGCCACTGCAAACGGCAGCAAATTGTCTCTCTGGTCCGAGGGAGATAACCCCTAGAATTACGCAACGTATTCCTGATTAAAATGTTGTTTGGAAAGTCTAGTGTTCTGGCGAAGAATAATCTGCAACAGTTACAAGATAAGAGAGCTAAGCGGACCATCTAATTCAAGTTCACTTAGCCTACATTTGGGAATCTTCACATTTGCGATTGCTAATTTCTGAAAGTGTTTCAATGATATATAGCCCCCATATATACCGTATAGTTCAAAGGACAGGAGATAAACGTTAAAGCCATGTTAACATTGACTGGGGCTGACGACTTGTAAGGATCTGTTGAGGACTTGGGAGGACTTGTATTGGGCTTTATAGGACTTCTCTAGGGCTTCTGATGACTTGTTTTAATTATAGGGCTTGCGCGGACTTGTAATGTACATGTGAGAACTTGTGGGGCTTGGGAGGACTTGTGTTTGGCATGCCATTGAGCCTTGATTTACTTATGGCTGCTCTGTCAAAAATGTAAATCGAAGTACAGGTGCTGGATATGTGAGGACCTCTTCACGAAGGGCTTACGAGGACTTGTAGAAGACTGGCTCCATTTTGTGTTCACGACCGTCGGAATAATGATGAGAAGCTAGGGAGCTTTTCGAAAATTCAAACACTTACTCGAGCACCTGGGGATGTCTCCTCCCCTGCTCGCATAGTAGCCAGGAGGGCAAGTCCTCCTGCAGTATCCCATTTGCTTCATACCGCTGCGGTGAAGGAGGAGAAGGTAGCGGGGCTTGCAGGTGATGCAGCCGTTGAACAGCGAGCAAGAGTTGCAACCTTGCGGACAAGCTGTGAAACAAGAGGGGTAACCATTAATTTTTTGGGTAGAAGCTTGCCGGATTTCGAGTTTGCTATTACTTGAAGGTTTCATTTTTCTGTCAGCTAAATAGGTCACTGCAACAATTCAGTTAGCTATTGCCGTTAGAAAGAACAACACTATTCGGGAAAGAGATGTTAAGCTATGCTTATCCACATCGCATTTAATGTTTAGAAAGGGATGCAGCAGCCTGTAGTAATTTAAAATTGAGGGTCTTTGTGAAAAGAAATCATGTTTGACCCTCTGCTTTAATCGTTAATGGTTAATTCAGATCTGTACTGATGGTACGATATACCTGTTCAGATTGTTATCATCGCTCGGAGCCCTACACCTGTCGCACTGGGCTGATTCCAACCCTGCATGGTATCTGAATCCAGTTGCCGTTTAAGTCTAGTGGTGAGTAACACTGTCGGAAAGAAGACCCGGGTTCACGCACACAGAGCCCAGCAGCTGCCACCATTAAATGATGTTGCTAAATAGTCCCAGACATATGAAGATTGACACATTGCAGTTGGTGGGCACTCTCAAACATAACTGACAAAGTACACAGCCCCAGACTGTCGGAAACAGGTTGCAGATGTTTGGCTACTGCGTGATTCGTCATCGCAAGGCTTCTATTATACGCTCGCACGTTGTTTGTACTCAACACAAGCGAGCAAATGACCGCCGTGCTAGATTGAACAGGTAAGGTCATTCGGGAATATAGCACACGGGAGTCGGCGTACAAAAGGGAGGACCATGCGTGCGAACACTGCGCGCACTTCCCGAATGACCGAATTTGGGCATGCGTTGTTGGAATACCAAACTGGCTAATTTCTGTGCTCTACAAGTCTGAAATTAATCCCATGATTTTTTAATAACTGCTTGCAGAAAAAGTGAAAATGTGTGGCTCTAGCGGGGCATTGCACCTATGGCTAAAGGGACACCTATATTCAGCTGGACGCAAAATGGCAAGCCAGTCATGAGAAAGGTTTGTAAAAGTATCGAATGGGCCACCACAATAAGTCATGCAGACATGCAATATACATCATCGCATCATGACACCACGAAATATCTAAATTCTCAAGTGCAGGCGTGACCTTGGACTTAAGCGAGCGAATGGCCTTGGCCAGGTTTGCCGAATTTGAGAACTTTGGGGAACAGTGATACAGCTTCAAGTACCACTGCAGTAGCTGATTGGGATGCACAATTGCACCCCCAGCAGTTTAGTTTATCGTCTGGAATAATAATACCGGTTGACAATTTTGACAGCAAGTCTCTTAGCGTAGATTTAATCATTTTACGTGGCACACCTTGGGCTCCGTATTGTCTGTGCGTGCAAAATGCACCCCTCTGTTTCTTACCGTTTCAAGAGGCTAAACCTTCCCCTCGAAGGTGAACCATTTTGATTGAAAGGAGGCACTCTTGTAGCATAAAAGGTACGTTGGAAAAATAGCCTACCCACTCCATTTTAAAATCCTGATGCCAAAAGAATCTGTTGGAGTGTGAATCTTTACTCTCTTCTCCCAGGACGCAAAACTTCGTAAAACGTCTGATCACGGACGATATGGTTTCCATTTAAGTTTGAGCTTCACCAAATGAGCTGCCCCTGCGTCAATACGACACCGACCGCGAGCAGCAAAGGTGACGTCATGAACTTACCCCTCCATTGCCAAAGATCCTGAGGCATTGAATGACTGATCGTATCCTGTGACGACAGATACAGAGGGGGAGACCCCAGGGCTCCTATATTCCTTAAGTCCTCTTGTCCCCCAGACTTAACTGACAAGCCAAATTACTCATGACATCTCCAGGGGTTTAAGGACGCGTTTGCAGCCGTTCCTGCAGCACGCGTGGTTTGCGTTTCCATACAAATCGGTTAACCAGTTTCCTGGGAGAGTCCCAGCTATGGTCCATGATCTATTTAGTCGGTCAAAGCTTCTTGAACCGTTGGAGTGTGAACAAGCAAAAAGATGAGCTCGAATTCTGAAAAAGGTTTGGGTCATTTCTGAAACAACGGCGTCCGTGCTACGCCTAACACAAACCAATGATTACTCAGAAACAACCCAGATTTGACCTTATGTTTACGGGACTCCCAAAAGACCTGTCCAGACAAATTTTTACATATGCTTTGTGCTAGTAAACAGAAATATCATGCCGCAAGGGCTGGAAAAAAATTATGACTGATGGCTAAGGGATGGTGTGGTGTATACATTAAGTAACAAGCACTACAGTCACTCAAGTTTGAGCGAGTTGGGGTCGAATAGTTTCGATTTCAGAGGAAAATCTACCACTATGGGGGCAAATCAAGATTTTTGAAAGGTCCTTTAATTTTTTTAATTTAATTTTCAGCGTTAGTTTGTCTGATTTGAATAGTAAGTCAGGACAAAATTAGAAGAGAGACACATAGAACAAAATGGATCTGGGTTGGGTTTTCAGGCACCCCATCCTTACAAAAAAGGGGGTGGAAGTGATTTTAGTTTTATGCAAATCGATTGCAAAGAAAAAGTAACAAGATTAAGCGTAATCTGATGAATGACTCTGTCCGTAAAAGACACCGAGGACTTGTGACGAAAGGGGCGGAGCCTAATGCACCCTCCTCCAATTCCAAACGCCTGTGAACTAAAGTATGGCACCCAGCAACAAGAAGATCTGACATTTTGGTGACATTCAAACTTGTGGGCGCGCGACTAATGTTATTATGCCAGACACTGGGTGGACTAAGTGGTGATTTACAAGGCAATTAACCCCGCGGTGTACGGTCACAGGCAGAAGCAATCAAAATCCGCCACGCAAAACTAAACACTCTTTCGAAAAATTTACCCAACGAGTGCTTGCGCTAGAAGAATAAACTGTCCCCGCTGGGATAAAAATTAGCGTATTGAGCAGACAAGTCCAAATGGTAATGGGTACTCTGGGTGCATTAGAAATACCAAATGTTCCAGCTCTACAGTAGTCTCAATCGTGTTTTAAAGGTCGAACAGACTGAATTTGGCATTGATGTCTTAATTTGAAAATATTGGAGTACAACATTGCCTAATCCTGAGTCAATAAAGTTGTTCCAATTAAATCTAGCAGCTTACTGTCAGTGTAGCGTAACAACAGAAAGTACATAATGAATTGGGTTAAGGAAAGAAAATTTCAGCAATCCAAGACCTAGTCTGTGAATTTCTGCTTGATGGAAGCAGAACCTAGGTGAACTATATTACCTGAGCCCGCGCCCACTCCACCCTCCCCCCGGTGAAGACAGAATCATAAAGAAAGCGTTTTCGTTAAACTTTGCACATGACACTACTGAAGTCACTGATAATAATAAACCAGTTTAGAAGACATTGACAAATTACAGTGTAACATTGAAGGAATCAATCCCTGACATGTCTGAAACCTTAGCTATCATTTTGGTCAGAGAGGAGAGAGTGAACCCTAGCCTGAAAATATTTAAGGATTGGAAATAGTCACGTTAAAAGGGGTGATTCACAATAGTGTGCCTCCAACAGTTTGCAATGTGTTGATCATCACAGTGCGTGAAATCTGTCGACGCTTTCCAAACCGGAAGTTAACTCACAACTTCAGAGATGGGAGCCTGCAAATCGTGGTGGGTTCGCCTTTGTGACGAAGTCACTTGCGAACCGGATACATTCCTGAATAAATTCGTTGCGCGTACTCAGCGTGCTACGCGTCAAACGCGCATATACTAGTGCGCTGAAGACCGTCAATTTTATTTACAAACACGCCCTCTTTTGTTCTGTCTGGAGTGAATACTCGGCTGTCACTTAAAACAAGTACAATCCGTAATCGTCTTACCTTTTGTTTTCACGCGCCACGTCTCACCCGTGTCCACCGCAGCAAGGAGTAAGCTGAGGCAAATTAACAGCACTATTTCCACATCTATCACACCCATGATTCGTGTTTTTTCTTCCCTGAAAGTTCTTTTTCAAAGGTGAGGCAAAGTTGCACTCAGCGTATATCAAACGGTTAGCGACTGACTCATACTCGTCTCAAAGGAGGAGCGCCGATTTGTTTTCCCAGTAATTCCATCACTAGGGTTTTCTCATAAGTTCGAGGGATCAATCTTACTAGAGACGGTTTACATTTATTCGTGCATGGTTCTATTGAAGTTTGAAAATGTTAAAGCCTCTTCCTAAAGTTTCCAGAATTGGAAGGTTCCTCTCTGCTTGTAAAATTTGGACGACTCAAGTTGAAAAGACACAGTGCAGAGAACCAAAACTAATTTCTCCAGAACCTCCTAGTCTTCCTCTCTGTGTGACGGTTACACGAAGTCCAAGTCCGAATCGGCGTGATTCCGTTATTGATCGTTAACCTTTACAGTAGTTGTCCTGAATGTAGAAGTGTACACCGCCAGCGTACACCTGTTTGCTGAACTGAAGAGTTGTCCTGTGCCTCACTGGAGCTCCTTCGTCGTTAGGGACAACCTTCCTGCCTCTCTGGTGTCTCCACGATGCAACCTTTGTCCATTCAGGGAGATCAGTAAACTTCCCACGTCCCTTTAAGCCAGGGTGTGTTCCCTTTGTCGCGCGTCTTCTGCTGGGTGTGTGAACACGTGCGAGTGGTGTCCGCTGATCCAGATTTAGACGTTGACAAAGCGGATGATCGCTTGGGAAAACATATATTGCACAGCCACGGCCGGACCTGTACCTGACTGGGGCAGCAATGCGAAAGCTACAGTTCCCTTTTACGATTCATTGAGCAGGTAGGCTTCTAATTCACCTGCGATAATGCCTTTGTTATGCCTGGTGGAAAGCAAAACAATCCATTACATTTCAAGAATAGTTTGGTTTTAACTTGTATATATCCACCTGCTGAAAGTTGTTTTCAGGGTTTTCCAACCAGACAATGGGTGATGAATCATTACGCTGTGGAAAGCACCAACAAATATTATTACGTAACTGTAATATCACGGGCGGTGGAAGAAAAATAATGAGTTTCCACTTTCGTTTTCCGCCTCGCGCCCGTACACAGAAACACGGCTGGGCTTTTGGAAATGAACCGTTCCCCACAAGTCGCCAATTCGCCACATTGGAGCCTCGTTGACTTATCAAACCCTAAATATAGGGTGGGCTTTTCAGTAGTCCCTTCCGCCTGGGATGACAAGTGCAATTATAGAAACGACTTCATAGGATTCCGCGCCAAAATGTTCACCTTTTTTGAACAGGTGCAGAGTTGTCACACGAGATTGTTGGCGCCAAATTAAGTGTGTCTTACAGCTGAGGCCGGCGGTATCCATTTCGGTGTCAAGTTTGCATGTTGTCAATGAGCTGACGATTTCCTCTGTCGGACCGGTTATTTTTCTGGACCTCCAAACCTTTAATAACCAGGCACTTGATTGGTTGAAATTTTAAGTTGAAACAAGCAAAGCGATTGTACTTATTTTGTTTTGCCACGCAGAAGCAGTGCAAGTCCCTCTCTTAGTCCGAGGCAACACTGGTCCCAAAGCTTTGTCTGTCGTCCAGAGACAAAGAATACCAGACGATGATATGCTGCTCAAGACGCGGTCGTTTGCACTGTGGAGAAGTCCCTTTCCGAAAGTTGACAATCACGGAGCGCCTGTCTCCAGGCGGGACGTATTCGCACCACAAGTTTCTTGTGTGCTGCAACTGATGGTGAATCCTTCACGCAGACACCGTTCACTCCAGATCAACGTGTGCACGTACATGTACTGAATGTCAGACAGCTCACAGTGCAAGAAACTTTTATGCAGTATGCTTTGCATTCCACCAGCACACATCACCGCTCTGCCCGATACACCTCATTCCAACCAACGTACATGTGCACACGATCATTTCCACAACAGCGATGAACCACGATCCACTCGTCAGTCATTGGTCGATTACTTTTTAATAGACTCGCGCACTCACGTACGAAGAGGTGATCCATACCTACACCTGTGCGGTGTGCGTAAAAAGACCGCCCCTGAAAATAATGGGTGAGCACACTCTGTGCTGCTTCTGTTATACTAATTTAAGAGACTCTCAGAATCTCTTAATTATGTAAGTAATCACTCACCCAGAGTGGACTCGAAGTCAGTTCAGATTGCTTTGCACGGTGAATTTCCAAAGGTGAAATTAATTTAAAGATCAGAAAGACCTACTTGCCCCATGGAGAGCGGTAATCATGTACAGGTAAAACTACTGGAGATTCTTTGTTGTAGTGATGGTTGTTGTTGACTATCGCGCAAGATAGCGAACGTTCAAGTACATAGAGAAGAGCATGGACCGCGACCTTCCCGTCCGTGAGGTACAGAGGCCGGGCCTCTGGGGGTGGGGGGCGGCAGTTCTGGGCGTTTTATTGGCTGGGGTGGTTGATTGTGTTTTGGCTTCCACTGATACAATGACGGTGACTCACTTTTTTGTTCATCACAATTGGCATCAGTTTGGGAAAACTGAACTGATCGAGTTCTGTCACTGGGAGAGCACTGTCAAAGTTAATGGTTTACTCGCTGTTTTTTTTTATTCTTTGCCCTTCTAACCCAGCAAAATTTCCAGGTAGGGCGTGTTAATGTAACAGACAAAACGTCCCACATCCACAACCTTTCAGTAAAAAAATAAGTGCTGCTTCGTCTGGTAGTTTCCTCAGATAAAAGTCCTCATAAGTGTTGAAATATGAATCCATCATTTGAACAATTTAGGGCAAGAATATTGTTTTGTTTGGATAAGAAGTTCTCATTGCTAGACTGTGGTAAAATGAAAATTTAAATGTCTGGCACTATCTGCTGCTATATGCTCCTCTGATGTTCGCTGTCCCCCTGGAAGATAATAAATGTGGCGGCAAACTCAGACATAAAAGTGAATCACAGACCCACTAGGCAAGCTGAGCAAACTCATAAACCGGTGCAAATGAAAAAAAAAAGAAAAAAACGGGAACTTTATCGTCTGAAGTTATTCCAATTTCCTTTGTGTGGATGAAGACCCTCGAGTGTGACGAGCTTGCATCGACGCTCCGATGGGAAGCTCTCAACGGTCGAATCTACACAGCCATTGCACGGCCCACTTATTCGGTGTCCAAGTCATTTTTATACACAAGTGCCTCCTCCTCCGTTAAATAAAACTGGAAGACGTGGTGTCATTGTCTCTCTTGATGTAGCTCAAAGTCAGGGGGATGCTTGGCACATTACATGAGCTCCAAAATAACACGCTGGAGCAGAAGGTTGAATTGTTACGGAAGCGTATTGGTGCCAACGCGAAAAAAAATGTACTCGTTTAAACGACTTATTATCACGTTTAAATGACATATATGTAGATGTCTCGTTTAAAAAGATAACTAAGTCGTTTAAACGACATAACTGTTTAAATGAGATAATGAGTCGTTCAATTAAACGCGATAACGAATTAGTCGTTTAAACGAGATAACGAATTAGTCGTTTAAACGAGATAATAAGTCGTTGTTATGAGATAATAAGTCGTTTAATTAAACAAGATAAAATCGTTTTATTTTGCGATGGCAGTCATACGCTTCCGTAGTAGAGATATCAGAGAAGAACAAAAATTTCTCAAGATGAGTGAGAACCAGACATTTGACCTAAATCCTCGCAATGAAAGAAATTCTATTTATTCCATAAGAAAGTCTTTATAGTGGACCTGTTCAAAATAAATATTTAAGGAGGGACGAGTCTTACAGTTATCCCTCAAAATCGATGGTTTAAAGTCCAAAACAACAGTTCAATTGGGCCTTATGTGGTCGAAGATTGGACTTGGTGAAGCTGTAATTGCGATTAATTTGTTCACGAGAAAGCTAAACGAGTTAGGCACCTGAAACAGACCTACGGAAGCCCATGAAATCCAAGCCACCCAGTCGCTAAAGTAAACTGCAGTTAGATCCCTGAGGTGGAAAAACTAGAGGAGATCGCCCAACGACCCGTGAGAGCCGAAAATGGCGTCGTCAATCGATAAGAATATCTTAACAAGGAGAGTTATATTTAATTTAAATGCTTCAAAATGAATCATGGATCGAAAGGAGGCCTAAGCACGCTGGTTATTAATAAAAAGTGGTATCTAAAGATTTAATCAATTTCCTTAATGGAGGGTTGTAAGTACGAAGGAAGTGATCCAACTCAAAACCTAAGACCATCCTCTTTCTTCCTTGAAATGTATAAGCCTCTGATTATCTCAAATGAAAACTCAGGAAATACACTCAATTCGACTAATTTCCTTGACGTTGAACGTACTGTGGTACTGTGTTGAGAGGCGACGAAAAAGTTGTTCATTAACACATAAACCAGGGTCACTGTCCTGCTTCAAAAATTTATCTTATGTCTTTGGACTTCATGTCCTGAAGTTGAAACAATATCTACTTTGGAGTGAAAATTGAAAACCATAATAGAAGAGAAAAGAACTGCAGTTCTTTAGAATTTATTGGAAGTCGTAGAAAGCAACAATGCGGCTCTTTAAACACCTGCTGTTGAAGTTGAATATCACTGAGCCAAGGCTGCCGCGCTATCTACCCGTGATATACCTGGACTTGGGAACTATCGCCGGATGTCGATCAATCATCGGTCACAAAGTCTACCTGTCAGAGAGTCGAGCGGCCCGCGGAGTCCTTGAGGGTTGCCGGTGGTTGAGAGAAGGGTGGTTTGTGATAGCGTGATTGCGACCTCCCTTTCCCCGGCAAATTCTGAGAGTTGTTGGCTGGAAAACGGCTGTCGTGACTGCATGAACGAGTTTATATATAATGCCATAATGCCATAAAAAGATGTATGCTTAAAATGCCTTTTGGAAAGCCTAGATTATTGTTGATAACGGCCCAATTATCGAATTGATAATGACCTAATTCACGAGTAAGGCAAATTGGGCTGATATTCCGCATGGGAAGAAAGCTTAAAAAGTGGTTCAGAGGACACGAACTCTCGCATGAAGTAAAGAAATTTGCTTGTTATACGGAATTTCAATACTCTATAAGAAACGAAATCTGAAAAGACTCCTTCGCTATTTCCGTGAAGGTTATAAACCCATTCGACGCCTAACTTGCTAAATGCATTGACTGTAATTTGGTGTAACTTTGGAAAGTGGTCTTTTATAATCAGATGAATGCATTTTTTCAAAACGCACCGTCTCTCTGTCAACTCAATTCGGTCAGGTGACCTGTTATTGGCATCATCCGCAATTGTGTTAGACGTCTGAGAAAGGGTCCATAGTTAGACGAGTGTGGCATACCTGGGAATTATAAGCAGTAGAAGAATAGAAACATCCTCTGAGACAGGGTCGGCTCCCCACCCAAGGAAATTGATAAATTCAAGATATTTCAGTCAGCTTTGGTATAATGGTTACCACACTCAGTATGCGGCTATTTAAATAATTTGATAATTCTAACCACACTGTCGATAATTATACAATAGGATCGTGACGACTGAAGTCTCTCTACATAAAAAGAAAAGACTGCAAGAACTCTGAAGACCATTTGGCTGCTTCAAATTTGAGCGACCACGGGTTGAATGAAGGCGAAGATTACAAACGTTGCAAAGCACAGATGGGCTGACAACAAGTGTCATATAAACTATTCCATTCTATCTGCCGTAAATGTGGCGCGTACTTCGGTAAACAATGACAGTTGCGCGGCTACCGGCCACGCGATTGCACTACGGCAGTCGGGCCCCACTTGACACAAGAGCGCGCCTGTATTTGAATGTGATATTAAATGCATGTTCTGACACCAGCAGGAAGATAACGGTTTGGTTAGGGATGAATGCAGGGCCAACGACTGTTTCCGGAAATTCCAGCTACGCTAGAAATCAGATTTAACACTCATTAGTTAATACTCATGAGCATAAAAACCAAAAAGAGAGTGACTTAACCTTTGAAATACACGTAGTGAAACAAAAGTTTAAAGTATAAGGTTAGATGAGACACAAAGGTGCATTCTTAAGGTCTGCATCAAAACAAATTGATTGCAGCTACCCTTTAACAGGTGAGTCCTAAAATTCGCTCTGCGTCGGATCGAATTACAATCAACCTGACCAACCAAAGTTGGATCCACTCCCTGACATGTCTGGTTTACGGTGCCTGAGGGAACACGACGATACGTACCTCTGACCAGATCAAACAAAACTGACATCCCGTTTTCCTCTTGGCGTCGTGGTCTTGATAAATGACGGTGCTGTTCCCCAATATTGCTTTCGTTTGTGTGGAGTATGATTCCAAATCCAGCAAAACACACTAAATCACTCGCATGCTGACTATACTGGGGTCCCGATCAATCACAAAAGCTGTCAGAAACAGCCCCCGATCGAATCCCAAACATGGTTTAAATCGTAATATTTATGCGGCCTGACGTTTTGATTCTAACAAAATATTTTCAAAAGCAAGTGTTCTATGCAAGAGATCCAAAAGAAGTCATAAAATATCACAACTGTGGTAAAAATCACATTTTTATTCACAAAAAGTTAGCTGTTTATTTTCATTTAACGCCAAAAATATTCCATGAAAAAACGAAGACCCGGATCTTCCATTGTCCCAGCGGACATTGACATCCGTTAAACCAATCTTCAAAATTACTCCTTACTTTCAAGAGTTATTTACGACAGCTCTCAGAGTTCCCTCCAAAACAGCCGTCAAACACCATAAATATCCCTCAACGGTCATTACACAGTTCCCTATACTACAACAATGGACGAGACTTCACTGAAAAAATTTACACGGTGGTTTACGCACTTGAACCTTGGTTATCCGGTCAGAGCACACGGAGACAAATTGTTCAGCCGTTTGCGGGAGGAATTCATATAAATCCAAGGCAGTTTACTTTACAGTCATAAATATAGTTGGTGAGATAACCCTGGAAACAAAACTCCCGCTGGAAAT